TGTCAGCAGCTGGTCAGTTGCCGAAAATCCACCAGAATTAAAGCAGCTCATTTCTGGCCAAAGAATAACACAGAGAGGGGCCGCCAGTAGACTCCCAAAGCTGTTAAGATACTAAGATCTGTCTTTCTCCTTCTCTTTATCAATTTCAGTTTTCTTGCTAGTGCCATGATGTCTTTCAGAATGTCTACTGCCTCTCCCTGTCCCTATCTCCCTCCCCGTCTTTTGTTCTTTTTTGGCCTTCTGAGTTATCAATTAGATCATCATCATCATCATCATCATCTTCCTTTTGGCCTTCTGAGCTATCAATTCGCTCATCATCATCATCATGTTAGAACTGCAGAGCTGGAAGGGATCCTATGGATCCTCAAGGCCAGCCCCTGCCAGTCCTCTGGCTCCACAGCCGGAAACTTCAACCACTGAGCTCTCTCCAGCAGATCTAATTTTGCTTAAAATCATTCCGATGGTACTATGTGACCTGTCACCCCAAATGATAACCGCTTGTATTTCCATATTTGTAGGAATAGATTTGCTGGTTGGTTTGTATTTTGTCGAGATTCACAAATTCACAGACATGGACAAAATAAATTGAAGTTGTGACTTAACCGCAAAGTGTGTAGGTATTCATCTGCACACGGACGTGTATACCAGTCCTGGTAGCATAAGTAACTGACTTTTAAAAAAAGAGAAGATAATAAAAGGCAACATTCAGGTGTTACGCAAGATTGACGGAGGTTCCTCACTCTGTGCTACAGCATGAAAAAAAATTTGAATGGTGGCTCTGCAGCCAGTAGCCTCCATCATCCCCTCTTCCCAGTGCCTTGACACGTGTAAGAGAACTCTTCTGCTTCTTTGCATGTCAGTCTCATTCTCCTTTGGCATCGGTTCAGTGTCTTCCTTATAAAGTACTGAAGTTTATCTTTACCCTTCCCCACTTTTAATCATGTTGCATCTTTTTAATTAAAAAAAATTAAAACCTCATTAATGCCAAATCTAACACAAATGATCTTAGTAGAGTACTTTGTCTCATGAGCCCTCCTGAGGGTTGGCCCTGATTCTGTAAGTGTTTCAGCATTCTGCTAAACACAGTTTATTATTTCTTGTTCTCCTCTTGCTTTTTTTGTTACTTTCTGTTACTTAAAAAAAACAAACACCACAAATAAGCATGAGGGTTCGTATCAGAATGACAGAGGAATTTGAAATATCCCTCTTGGAATGCCTCCAAAAATAACTTAAAATGTTATTAAAAAATAAATTTTGAAAGTAACTAGAAAACATGATTCATTAAACAAAAACAACTTCTTTTGTGCTTATTGCTTTACGTTTATCTTTGCTGCATTATTGTTATCTCCAAAAGTAACGAGATTTTGTTTAGTCGTTAAGTCTTGTCTGACTCTTTGTGACCCCATGGACCAGAGCACGCCAGGCCCTCCTGTCTTCCGCTGCCTCCCGGAGTTTGGTCAAATTCATGTTGGTCGCTTCAATGACACTGTCCAACCAGCTCATCCTCTGTCGTCCCCTTCTCCTCTTGCCCTCACTCTTTCCCAACATCAGGGTCTTTTCCAGGGAGTCTTC